ATCCGTCTGTTGTTTTACAGTTGCACATCTCAGCCTTCCCCTATATCCGTATGTTGTCTTACAGTTACACATCGCATCCTTCCCCTATATCCGACTATTGTCTTACAGTTGCACATCTCAGCCTTCCCCTATATCCGACTATTGTCTTACAGTTGCACATCTCAGCCTCCCCCTATATCCGTCTGTTGTCTTACAGTTACACATCTCATCCTTCCCCTATATCCGTGTGTTGGCTTACAGTTGCACATCTCAGCCTTCGATCCCCTATATCCGACTGTTGTCTTACAGTTGCACATCGCATCCTTCCCCTATATCCGTCTGTTGTTTTACAGTTGCACATCTCAGCCTTCGATCCCCTATATCCGACTGTTGTCTTACAGTTGCACATCTCAGCCTTCCCCTATATCCGTCTGTTGTCTTACAGTTGCACATCTCAGCCTTCCCCTATATCCGTCTGTTGTCTTACAGTTACACATCGCAGCCTTTCTCTATATCCGTCTGTTGTTTTACAGTTGCATATCTCAGCCTTCCCCTATATCCGTGTGTTGTCTTACAGTTACACATCGCAGCCTTCCCCTATATCCGTCTGTTGTCTTACAGTTGCACATCTCAGCCTTCCCCTATATCCGTGTGTTGTCTTACAGTTACACATCGCAGCCTTCCTCTATATCCGACGATTGTCTTACAGTTACACATCTCAGCCTTCCCCTATATCCGTGTGTTGTCTTACAGTTGCACATCGCAGCCTTCCCTTATATCCGTGTGTTGTCTTACAGTTACACATCGCAGCCTTCCCCTATATCCGTCTGTTGTCTTACAGATGCACATCGCAGCCTCTCCCTATATCCGTCTGTTGTCTTACAGTTGCACATCTCAGCCTTCCCCTATATCCGTGTGTTGTCTTACAGTTGCACTTCTCATCCTTCCCCTATATCCGTGTGTTGTCTTACAGTTGCACATCGCAGCCTTCCCCTATATCCGAATATTGTCTTACAGTTACACATCGCAGCCTTCCCCTATATCCGTGTGTTGTCTTACAGTTGCACATCTCAGCCTTCCCCTATATCCGTATGTTGTCTTACAGTTGCACATCTCAGCCTTCCCCTATATCCGACTATTGTTTTACAGTTACACATCGCAGCCTTCTCCTATATCCGTCTGTTGTCTTACAGTTACACATCGCAGCAGCTAACGGCTTCGTGTCGGTAGTTGAATACCTGCTGGACAACCACGTGAGCCTTGATGTGATGGACAGTGACGGCTGGTTCCCCATCCACGCCGCCGCCTGCTGGGGACACGTACGTATCCACGACAACGGTGATGATGATGATGATGGTAATGATGATGATGATGATGATGGTGGTGATGATGATGATGATTGATGGTGGTGATGATAATTATCTTTATCATGGTGATAATGATGATGATGATGATGATGATGATGATGATGATGATGATGATGATGATGATAATATTAATTATAACTATAATCATGATAATAGTAGGCCGTCTGAGGTGCATGTCCTGTTCTGACAAGGTCAATACACATCTGAGCCCACAGGTCTCAACCCTGCCCTCTGGCAGAGTCGAGACGTATCAGAGCTGCGTGTCTCAACCCTGCCCTCTGGCAGAGTCGAGACGTATCAGAGCTGCGTGTCTCAACCCTGTTCGGGCAGGGTTGAGACGTATCAGAGCTGCGTGTCTCAACCCTGTTCGGGATATTCGAGACGTATACATCAGAGCTGCGTGTCTGAACCCTGTTCAGGCAGAGTCGAGACATCAGATCTGCGTGTCTCAACCCTGTTCAGGCAGGATTGAGATACGCGGCTCGGATGCGTGTTGCGTGAATGCTGGGTCAGCGACCGCCCGCGATGCTACAACCACGACACAGTGCACAGTAGCGACATAGGTCATAGCAAGCTACCACGGTGATCGCGGGTTGGGTATTTACAATCCTGCTCCTCCCCCCCCCCCACCGCGCGCGATCGCATATATAGTGGCAATCTCCGTCAATAATAAACATCGGCTGATGTGCTCGGGTGTGAGTGATGTGCTCAGGAGGGGGGGGGTGATCCCCTTGCTCGTGCTAAAAATATCGGTTAGTATATAAATGTCTTTTCCCTCACAGCGCCTTATGGGCGCATTCGTAATTTTGCTCGCGATAGAGGTTTGATAGCGGGCTTTCCTTCTGCATGTGTCACCTCCATGTTTTTGTGACATCAGACAAGTAGACAGCGCTATTATAGCTTGGAAATGACCTGGACAGCCAGCTCTTTGCTTCGGCTAGCGCGAAATTCGAAGCCAGTGTTAAAATTCGAAGCATCGACCCCGATTAAAAGACGTGCATTGAAGTTTGACTCTCGGGTTTCCTTTTGTTAGCTAAAGTCATTGTCTAAATGTGCTTTTAGTAAATTACATCATTATTGGCGGTTGTATCATGGTGTTTTTCATCCATAGCAATATTGCAGCGAAAATTGTAGGCGCCTGAGTTATAAAGATGAACCCACCGTAATTGCGTATATCCTCCATGGGATGACTGTTGGACACACCTTTTCTACTAACTCTTAATATATTTATGTACGCCGATTGTGTTGAGTCCCCTTGTGTGTCCGGGTAGTCCGATACAAACACCGTAAACACAACACTTGTGTATGAACGGATGTGCAAACAATCCTTTCACTTCACTGTTGTAATATTTATGCACAAATCCAATGTACTAATGTGTACTACTGTTATGCGTATGTGTGTTCTAACTTTAGAAATCCGGTGTAGTATCTGATCGGGGTGGGTGTAACCCATGCGCACACTCGAAAGTTGTAATGCAATTAACGACCGTATAGGCATAATATTACATCGAAAAAGCAAAACAAGCGCTGCAACAAAATTTCGTGCGGGAAGTATTATATGCAGCACTGACGCGCCACGTGCGCGTGGCGTACAGGAACTCTTCCATTACTAGCCAAGATGCTTTTACGAAAATTGCCTTGCATGTGCTGTGCCTTAAATTCAGATTACCTGTTTTCACAATGTGGAAGAACGGGCGGGGAAGCAATAAGATTAGCCGGTATGAGATTATAATTTATAGCTTAGCTTAGAACTTATAGCTCGGCACGTACTGAAGTAGCAACGTTGATGAAATTTGCGCGTGGAAGGTTAGCAGTAGTTACATGCGCCATTAGCTAATTGGCTATGAATATGAGATTGCAAATAATCTGTGCTAGACTAAGAGTGATTTCAGCAATTTCGGTTGATAAATTATGCACTGTCAGTTATTGTTATCTTGTTGAATATATTCAGCAATATATTCAGTTATTGTACCCGTTCGTTTCAGCGCTGCAGAAATGTAATATGCGTGTAAAAGTTGTCACTATTTTTAATATCAGAATTTTCTAGCCCCTATTAGCGCATTCTGAACGTAGCTGGGTGTGGAAAAGGGAAACAAGAGACTAGATTTTATTATAGATTTCATTATGTGTGAGAATTCGCATAGCGGTCGCAAAAGCCCCTGCGGCCTCACTAATTCCGGAATAATGCTTTTTGCGTGTTACAGCCACAGATTTTAGAGATGCTTGTAGGAAATGGTGCTGACATAGAGGCCAAAACGAAGAATGGAGAGACGCCATACGGTGAGAGCCACCTCTCTGTGCTATCAGCCTCCATCTTGTCATGTCTTCACTCCCCCTTGTTTCACACAGTCATCGCTTCACGATTATATCAGAGGTGAATAATCTGTCAATATTCCCCTTGATTATATCATACTCTCGGTACCGAGGCATCGTTAACGATGTGCCACAGCAGTAAGAGCAGAGGGTCGTGTGGAGCGTTGTCCCACAGGCCACCTCCAGGTTTCCTGTGCCGCCGTAGCTATAGTAGAAGGTTCGTCCTGCATCGCCGATCCATGCATATCAACAGTAGAGGAGTTAAGTTAGATTCCGTAGACGTGCTGCTATATATGCTATGTAGCGTTATTAATTGTAGGCAGTCACGCACGTACCATTTTTACTGTATTGAAGAAACAATAGGTAGCATGCATACGGTAGTGATGTAACATAGTAGGTAGCATGTTTACAGTGACGAACCAACGTAGTACTGTAGCATGTTAGCATGAGTTACGAAACATAGTATTCACATATTTACAGTAGGTAAGATCAATTGTAGATAGCATATTTACAATAGTAGAACACATGGCAAATCTCATATTTACTGTAGTTACGACCAAAATAGTAAGAAGCATGTTTCCATTACTTGAGGGACAGCAGGTTATTAAACATTGTTCGCACAGACTTTGAAAAGTCCTTGAATTTGAGGGGGGTCCTTGAAAAGTACTTGAATTTAGTAAATGTTGATTTTGTGCTTGAAAAGTGCTTGAATTTCATGAAAATGTCATTGAATTTCATGAAAATGTCCTTGAATTTTTAGAAAGAATCTTTGCCTGTAATAAAAAGAAATTTTGTACCATCAATAATGTGCAAACCTCAATAAAAATTGCGTTAAATGAGCTTAAAAAGCTATAGACACGATAGACATTTAAATGATGATCACAAATTACAGTAAGTCAGTAAAATCAGTCAGTAAATCAAGGTATGTTGTAGAAGTGACAGTGTTTAGAAGGGTTTATTAATGTGATCCAGGTAAGTTTTAGAGGTGACATGTAGTGATTAAGAATGGGGTTATTAAATTATTCCAGGTATGTTTTGTTCTGTGTATGAATTCCGATAAAATGTCTGATAAAATGTCCTTGAATTTCCGATAAAATGTCCTTGAAAAGTCCTTGGAAAAAATTTCAGTCCTCCTGTATGAACCATGTTAAAAGTAAACATGTACCGTAAGCAGAACGTTTGAGGCTATAAGCATGTTATATCCGTTTCCGCACAATACTTGCAACAGACGAATTTATTTTCGCTCGGGAAAGTTATCTGTAATTTAGAATAATGTGCAGTGGATGGCGGAAACCCCCGCGGGCTGATCTTTGATGTGAGAGCATTACTGTGATTGCCCTTGTCGCGCGTAACATCAGCAGACCCGCCATCATGTTCGAAAATTTATATTCTTCAATATATAAAGGGAGAATTTTCGAGTTATAGCATGCCTGCTGAAGATTGTTAAATCTCGCTTCGAGATTTCGTTCCTTGCACGTGCAAAACGCCGCGGTGATTCTCTGTCAGAATTTTGTTTAAATTATCCTATTTTTTTTTGCTCGTCGTGTATGCGTTAAAATAGACAGCAGTTTGCATGTCTCACGTCTCATTCTGCGTGCTCACTGCGCCATAGCCGGCTCCTCTTCAAATGTTCGATGCAGTGCATTTGGGAAGGCGTTGCAATGCGTGGGCCGAGCAGACACA